TATCAAATGTCAATGTCAGTGTACTTCCCCATACCACTGTGATCTGAAACCGATATATGTTGATATAGGGTGTCGCTAAAGGTGACATTGGATGGCTTTTCACAACTTTAAATTCATATTTAACATCACGTCGGCAATGTCTCCGCCATATCGTGACGAAATCAATACATACAATAAAGATGAAGACATGTTGCAGAGTAAAACCTGTCAATGAAGGACAGATCAAAAACATCTAGGATATCCACAGATATAAAATTAAACCTAGTAGTTAAAATTATATCTGTGATATCCTAGTTGTTTTTTCTGTATGGACAAAACAATATTAAAAAAGGTTAAAGATTACCAAGAAGAACACATATTTTGCGATGAAAACGTGGTGAGATTAGATTTACTTCAAAATGTTTTGGACTCATGCATCCTGTCAGGAGAACAATGATGTTCACGGCGTGTTCGAGAGCTAGTAAATGATTCCTTGGTCGGGTATCGGTGGAGACATGACAGCGTTGCGTTACTGATGTCAAAACGAGGGATAGAATCGTGATACTGTTAACAATTTAGATGGACTTCAGCAAGCATCAGTCCTACCCGTAGCTGTGATCATGTGATTATCAGCGGTGTCACAAGCAATCTCCCACAGCAAGATTTGAGTCATGAAATGAGTCAGACTTACACATAATGTTAACACGAGAAGACTCCATTTTGCTGTCATCCCGTCTACCGTTATGTAGCACGTGCTGATCCTCCTACCTACCCTTCATCCCTAACTCCACCCCACACAAGCACCACCCTACCCCACCCCACCCCCCAGTCCACTAAGGACATCAAACAAAATGTTAGTTCCCTTTGAAGTACGTTTTTTTCCTTGATGAGTATACAAATAACAAGTAGGAGATATTGTTGGGACAATGCATTTCTTTAATTGGAACGTACGACCATCTTGAAAATCTTATCTGAACCAATAAATGTGTCTTTTCAAACATGGTAAGGGTCATATGACTGCAACTTCATCCATTCTTCCCAGAAAAAGATTGTCGAAGGAATAGTTTATGAACAATTAGATGTAAAATATTTTAACAACATGTTAACATTTAACAGGTTGGTATAATTTCAGTAGCCTCTCCTTTAAAGATGTATTCAGCTAGTCCTTCATGGGAAAAAACACTGTCTGTCTGAACTCTTTTGCATTGCTCCAGGTGTTTCATTGTGCTGGTTATGTCAGTCAGGCATTAATGTTATGGGACGAACCATTTCAGGCTTTCATACCTCACCTAATCTAGCAGAGCGCGGTGATATAAATGATCATGAATAAGTTTTCAAAACAGCATTAAATCCAAAGCCATCATGAATAAGTTTTCAAAACAGCATTAAATGTCAAAGCCAGCGTGTCATGACGACTGCTCAAAAGAAGCACCAGACTTGACATAATATCCAACTGCATTTCATTGTGATACGGCTGACCTACCTCGCCTGTCTTAAACAATTGTAACCTGAAAGTCTTGTCGGGCTGCACGTAGACGCCTCGATTTCCCAGAAATGGGGTGTTACGTTAAGTAATCACGTGACGTGTACTTTGGCGCTTTCTTTGTACTGTGAGTTCTAGTTGCCTCTTTCTATAGCATAGCACAGTTCTGGTTTGATACAGGGGACCAGAGGGGCTGATCGACAAACACTGTCTGTCATTATTCTGGCTGGACACAGAGCACCAGAGGGGCTGATTGACAAACACCGTCTGTCATTATTCTGGCTGGGCACAGAGGGACCAGAGGGCTGATAGACAAACACCGTCTGTCACTATTCTGGAGAAAGCAGTCTACCCGAGGACGACTTTAACTGAGAGGACCTACAAGCTCACGACAGACATAGATCAGTGGGTAGGACACAGTTGAGTTATTCTTTTTATTTATTTTCGTAACTGGTGAAGCTACAGTCCTTGTGAACAGTGAGGTCAGATCGTCATATGGTTTGGGCAATTCCCTCTGTATATGGATCCGGTATGAACTATATGTTGTAAAAAGAGGGTAATTGTACGGAATCACTCACAGGCTGTACACATCCTCTTACCCCGGTTCCCTAAATAAAAACCATGTAAACAAGCTCGTGTGTTGATACAGCGCTTAAACTGGGTTTACTGTTAAGCGACACTACCTTACATATGCCCACACAGCTTACATGTTGAGGTTCACTACGTACCAACGATGAGCGCACAAGAAGGCTGACGCATTGAGTGATATGTCCCCTGAACACTCGCTATGGTTGCTACATGGGTCTTCTGCCATTATTTATTATTATTATTATTATTATAGGATATTTATATATAGCGCGCAATTTATCCAGGGTACGAGTGCATGCTGGAAAGGCGCTGGTCTTTTTCTCGCGAGTCTTGTATCTATCTGCGGATCAGGTGTTTGATTCATTGTTCAACATGGCAGTGGACATATAGCGTTGTGTGGTGTTTTTTCTTTGTGTCATATCAAGGTTATTCCCAGTGTAGGGATTTATGTGGAAGCATATGTGGTCTAGTTCACAGAAACCTTAAACAATTGCGCAGAAAACAATATATTGCGTTCTGAGGGAAACTGCCAGATACCTGGGTAATGTCGTTATTACATCGTAATATACAGTACAATACATTAAATCATTAAATCTGTCCGCACGCATGCCCGCACCACGCATGCGCGCAATCACACGCACACACTAGCCTGCATGGTCATCTGCAAGTTACCACCTGAGCATCTTTGGGATCATTTGGATTCAAAATGCCGTGCAAGACCTGAGATGCCCAGAAACAGACAGCAGCTTTTCCTGGCTCTTCACGCTGTAACGAAGAATATCTCTGCTCGTTATCAAGAGTTTGACATTCCCAGCACGATGTAGACCTGGGCCCTGTGTTGATGCCTGTGGTGGACATTCGAGATACTGATCATTATATATTCTCATGATTGTCATATTCATGGTGGTGTAACCTCATACTGGGCATGTATCCCCACTTGTGCGGTGAACGCCATGTGACATTTATATTGACAACACATCTGTTTCGCTTTTTATAAATGACATTGTGTGGTTCCTCAAAGTTACAGTTAAAGCTCCTTGGTATCGTTTCTTTTGCCCTTTAGTTTACATTGGAACTACATATGCACACAAATATCGGTGAAAAACAAAGTATTTAGATAACCAAATTAAAGAGATATATAAGTGCTTCGTTTCTAGATGTCAGTGGTTTCGGCATGGACACATGCACCACGGCGCCAAAACATGACAGATCGATATGGGTGATTCTCACATCCCGGAATGCAGTGTTCACCACTGTTACTACTGCTCAGACCATTTTTGGACTCCTCGACAACGTCAGGGAAAGTTTCAACGTCATTATGGGATGCAACCACGTCGTCCCGCCATACGACATATCCTGATGCGACGACATCGAGAAAACAGCCAAAGGCTTGTCAAAATCATCTCCGTGTACCTTATTTGTGATGGAGGACTTTTGGTTTTACAGACAAGTCCACATTAACTGTTCCCGTAGTGACTGACGTCAACGTGTCTACCGGCGTCGTGGGGAGTATTTGCAAAAGATAATGTCGTTTGTGAGGAATCGCTATTAGTGGTGGTTCTGTAACTTTTGGATGAGATAAAATGCACGTCAGAGAATACGTTTATTCGTTAGGACAATTTGACTGATGTTGGCTACAGACATCAGATTCTCGAACCAGTGGCAATTTAGTGGCTAATCCAGGATTGACATCCCAAACATGACAATGCCTGTCCTCACACGGATAGGGTTGTTGTGGCTTTTTCTTCAACGGCACAATGTTCAAGTACTGCCCTTGGCCCGCACATTCACTGGATCTCTCTCCCTATAAAGAATGTTGGCAATGAGAATGAAGTGGCATCTGTGGCGTACCAATTCCATATCCCCAGAAAACTTTAAACATGCTGTTCTGCATTCCCTTTTTATGATCTCTATATCCACATTACAGTTTACGTGAAAACCGTTGTTATGTTTTCAAATTAAAGAGATACTTTAACAATGTACAGTTTCTTTTTGTGGCTGATATGTTTGCATTATACCACCACGAAACTCATTATAAATCCCTATATTTCATAAATACTAAATATAGAAGACAATAAACATACCTCTTATTGATAACGTGTGATTTTGCTGTTTAGATATTTATACCATATGACATAACAGAATGGACCTTTCCCACGTTGCTGTCCTTCAGAAGACACACACATTTCTGAAGGAGAACCTTCAGGTCGACCCTGTGTTGGATGCCTTGTATGAGAAATGTATCTTCACACAGACAGACTATCATAGGTGTAGACAAACTAAGGGACAGAGAAATGTGAGCTGGTGTTGGAGACGCTTAAAAAAGAAGGGAGAGAAGGTTACAAGACGCTCTGTGCTGTCCTCGACACTACACAGCCTTTCATCAAGGAAAGACTTGATAAAATCTCAGCAGAAGCAGGTAAAGCAAACCTTCCAAGGGTTTCTAGAAGTGCGTACAAATATTGCTAATAATCTAGGCATCAAAGACATGGATTTGCCAAGTGAAGACCTAGTAAAGTAAGAATGTTAAAACTGTATATATACATAAAATATATAACATAAATATATAAATACTGGCAGTAGCTGGTTATTATAGCGACGCTTCACTTTATGTACCCAAGAGATTACAAATGTCACAGGCCTTCTGTCAAGGAGCGACAGCAGTCAACTCTAACAGAATGACAGTTTCATGCCAGTCTGTTTTCCCTGCCCTGGGCCACATTTGTACCCGCCCATCATCCTCAATGGCTGAATCAAGCAGTATTCAAAAGTCGCTGGCTGAAGCTACCAAAAGAGGCGATAATGTCAGTATGATGTGAAGCCACTACTCACTGGGATGACTGATTGAAATGTCTTCTCACAGACAGAATCAGACACGGTCTGTTTTCCACTTTGTCGAGCGCTTGTTCCTGATCAGCAAGATTCTGTACAGTGCAGCTCTCTCTGAAGTACACAGCGTCCTGAAATGATTCAGGTCTTGACTTTGTGTTGGCCATGGAGGAGTTGTTATTGTCTCCAGAAGTAGGAAATCCATCACTGCACTTCTCTGGGGCCATGTGTTCTCGTGTAAAACCGGCCTTGTGAGCGCATGATGGTTGTCAAATTGTGGCACTACAATCTTCTCCAAGATGTCCCTTAGATATTAGTGGCAATTAAGAATGCCTTTCACTATAATATATTTAACTTAATCGAATGAAAACTGCCCCAGAATATTCCCTGTGCGCTTCATATGATAAATCTTGTGACACCATTTTCTTAAAAAAGGAAACTGTTATATTTTTAGGTAACACAGATCTCGTCTATGTTAACAAGGACAAACTGGAAGCTCAGTACAAAAAGGAACTTGCTAAAAAAGATGGAGAGATAGCTGACTTGAAATCTGTAAGTTGTGATTATGCATTGCAATCTTGTATTCTTATCTTGTTTAATGACGTTTCTCTTGTGAATAGTTTGATCAGATGATTACTGCACTCGCGTTTAGTGTTTCCCAACGGTACTAATCTTAAAACGTAATCTTTCAGCTACTTTGAAACTTATATAAGACGTGTTAATGTGATAAAATGTCAGGTCGTTTGTTTACAAGATGTCGTTATATACTTGTTTACTGGGCGTTCACGTTTGTTTTCAGGCAAAAGAAGGACTTGAGCAACAAATTGAACAAAACAACATTGACCATGCTGAACTGGAGGAAAGAATGAAGAAAGAAAGTGATGAACACATGTCAGAGATAGAAGGGAAGAACGTACAAATTGAAGCTCGTAAGCTGATACTTATTTTTTATAACATATATTACCAACAAACTAATGGGAGAACTAATGACCTGGATGTACATATATTTGAGATATATATTTACCTTTATCAATTATTGCATCTGAACGCAGCAACAGAAGAATGTGCACACAGAAGCCAAAATGTGTGCGCCCATGGAGTAACTCACAATCGCAAAATGCAGGCAGGCACCTCAGAGACATGACCAGACAAAATCACGAATTGTGGGAATGATGGAGGTGCAGAGTGTAGATCGACGGGGCCAGGCAACACCAGGGACGGCCTGTGCGTGAATTACGTGAAATGTTTACCGACAAATTACGATTTTGTCTTGGTTTTTACCGCTGGCAGTAAAACGTTAGCGATGTAGCGAGAATGTCACCACATCAACTATTCTTGACCATGATCTTTTTGGGATCGTTAGAGTCATGGAGTGGGATGATAACCCACATGACAGTCAAACTGACTTTGCTTTTGTGAATAGAAATTTTCTGTCCATGAATATGCTGACAGAAAAATACATCGATGATGATGTCAAACCTAATCGTTCTTATGTCGATACCGATTATCTGTGATGAAATTGGATGTCACCTTTACTGTGATGTCATAATTTACCTTATTTCGTGAATATAATACAGTAAATAATGTTTAACATAATTTGTATTCGCCATTTCGAAAACATAGTTTAGTTTGTCAGCGTCGATGGTGATGCCTGTAATATTGCTGTTTGTCATATTTGGGGAAAGATATGATGACTACATTTACAATAAAACATGACAATCAATATCTGGAATGTAACAAACCGATATCTGGTTCAATCTTCGCCTTTTTGTCGTTTCAGTGAAGACAGCGTTGTCAAAGTCAAATGATGAGTTGTAGCAGTCTCAAGCAAAATGTGAGAACGTGGAGAAGGTGGGTAGATGTAATGCTATGTGCTGTAAGTCTTAATCTGGACATCGTCTGAAACAACGAGGAACAATTACATGCACAGCATAATAATAAAGCTACAAATGAGATGCAGCGATATCTGTCGTTTCAGACACTGCGGGAAGAACAGGAGGCATACGATGCTCTAGTGGGTGTTCCAAGGTCACAGTCTCCAGACAGGGTGGACAATACAGAGCAAATCCAACGTGCAGGTACATTAAGACCAAGAATCCGTCATGTATATTTATAGTCTAGCAGAAAACTTTCCAGGACGGTGTTTGGTCACTTTTCTAAAAAAACTACAACTACAATCGTTTTCCAATTTGGCACATTTGCATGGCTAGGTGCCTGTTCCAATTAGTCGCCTTACACCCTTGACAGTTAAGATGTAATTGTGTCTTGACACAGTGATAGCTTATATTGACAACTTTTTTTTAATCATTAACTCATAATTCAAAATTCACTATGGTAGGCCAATAATCCATCATTCAATCAATGTACTTGTAGTTTTTGAGTAAGGTGAGTAAACACCTTCACGAAAAGTTAGCCAAACCATAACATTAATTAAAACAAATTTGTGAATGTCTAACTACATTTTGTGTTATTTTTATGCTGTTAGGTTCCACTGAGACAGCGTGCCAGTTTTCGACTGAGTCCTGTTGTGATGAGAGTCAGCTTCGTCTTCTTCCATGCCTTCATTCTGCCTGCAAGCCATGCCTTGATCACCGAGCTGCACAGACAGGAATGGAAGAGGAATGCATCCACTGTCCTTCCTGTGGCCGCGAGGTCACCATGGAACAGACATCAGTAGACCATGTTAGACGAAATGAAGCTGCCTATTCTGAAAATGTTGACAAAAGGAAGAAATGCAACTACACCGAAGAAGATCATGCTACGCCGGCTGTGATGTTCTGTCACGAATGTAATGTACGCCTCTGTTCCGACTGTCATAACATGCATGACAAACTGAAACCGAATCGAACTCATAGGGCGAGTGACATCAACCAGACAGAGAATATCTCCATGAAGCTGTGGCTGAGGGAACGTAATTGCAGTGACCACCCTGACAACAAACTGCAGCTGTATGACCACACGTGTAAGAAAGCTGTCTGTCTTATATGTGTGCATGGGGCCCACAAGGATCACCAGAATGAAGACTTGAATCAGGCCTATGACGTAGCAAAGGGTCAGCTGGAGGAGCAAGTACAGAAGCAGCAGCATAAACTGAAAGATGTCACTGACAGGATGGGAAGTGTCACCAGTCACCAAAATGAACTGGCAGAGACGCAGAGAAAGCTGAAAGAGGACATCACGGCAGTTTGCAAAGTGTTGCTGCAAAGTTCCTTCATCGACAGAAACAACTCATGGAAGAACTTCAGATGAGTCTCCAAGCCCCAAACGAAATGGTTGAAGAGAAACTTGACACTTTGCATGACGTCCATACTTCAATAGTATCCGCGATAGACTACACCCAGAGAACACTTGAATCTACAAGACGAGAGGAGCTCATTACTCTCACAGATGTACTGCAGACGAAATGTGATGAAAATATGAAGAGGAGCTTTCAGAAGATGACACACAAGACACAAGAATCCTTCTTACCTTTCAAGGCCAGAGAGCCCTGGAGGAACTTATCGACACATTTGGTGGTCTCGCCTCCAGTCTCAACATGGATCATATTCCAGATTATCAGCCTACTTCACAAGGTGAATATAAATCAAGACAGTTTACGTTTAGATAATACTAACGGATATGGACCCTTGTCTCGTTTGACTAATTGAACTGGACCTTTGCGTTTATGATTCAGTCAATTTGAATAGTTTTACAAAAAACAGAATACTTGTTACTCAACTATATTTACGTATGCAAAGAAATATAATACTTTCAACTGATTTAATTGTGAATATAAGCTGTAAAGAGACAATTAACCATCAACATCATTTTAAATTGGTCTGGTCTGTATTCTATTTCAGATCTGCTGACGACGATAAGGAGAGAACGAGAAACCATCATGGTATAATGTCACGTTACAGTAAATATAGCCTCCAATAATCCGCACATGTATCCATGTTTGTATATATGTGTGCGCGCATGCCTGCGCGCGTTTGTGTTTATGTATGTAAGTGCATGAGTGTGTGTGTGTGCTTGCGTGCGTCCAACTGTGTGTGTGCGTGAGTGTGTGTATGTGTTTGTGGTTGATGGATAGACAGATGCATATATGTACACACACATATTGTGCTGATGCTGTTTAATGCAAGTGTTGTTGTTGTTTTCAGATGCATGAAGGGCGGTGGCAACAACTCCGACAGATGATACATCGCATCCCAGGTACATTACACCACCATGGTGGAGGACTACACAGCAAATAACACAAGCAACTTTCAAATATTACAGTATATAATAACCAAGTGCTTAAATCATCATTAACTGAAAATGTAAATGTGTTTTCTACCGACCTAATGTTACGTTTTATTGAGGTAATCTTCTATAAACACCAACAATCACATCCTTGTATCAAATACAATACAAACATATTTTTTTCTTCTGTGAACAGAACTCAAAAGGATCAGACAGCAGAATGGCGAGATCACAGGAACCTGAACAGCTAACATCACAAGAAGTGCATGGCATTGTCACAAATGTACGTCCAATATTCCTATGAGGATTCTGGGTTTCATCAGTACTCACTTCTTGTCGCAAGGGACGTCACGGTGGATTTAGAGGTCATTCCATCATTTCAAATGAGTGCATGTCATCGTAACATGTAGGTAGTTAGGTCATAACTCCTAATCTCAGTCACAAGTATATTTGGCATGAACCTGGATAAACTCACAAACACCTTCAATAATGTATGAATATGCATTCTCTGAATTTATTGTACATGATATGGATGAAAGTCAACCGAATAAGGTTATACACACACAGTTTTCTGTTTTAATGCATGAATAGTGTACACCTTTACTTTCAGCTCATAACCGGAGCATTCATCCCCGGCGCGACAATTCCACGTGGTATTACGTTGCAAGGTATGTACACTGTGGTTTATTTTCGTTCTACCAGTAGGACATAACGCGCTGTCTCTGTTCGCGAAGAGGTACCCTCATTGGTCTTCATCAAACCGTTCATAACATTTTGCCTTGAGGACCCAATGAAATCTCTTTCAGCAGAGACGATCGCGTTTTACATTTCAATTGAGTTCCCATAACAGAACTAGTTATTCGATAAATATTCATACCTACAAAACCACAAATTCATGATGCAGTTTAGTAACTGCTGTTTAATTTAGACTTGGATAACATGGAATTTCACATTTTGTCACAAAATCAAGAAAACAGGCATTCTTGATGTTCCAAAACCTAATTACACAGGGCTGTGAAACGTGTAGCAGCTTAAAACGAAAATAGCGTTTTCAACAACTGCATGCTTGAAGTGTTTAGTTCATTTAAGTTGACGATTCCAGCCTGTGCATCACACTGTTGTTGATGTTACAACAATTATCTGTGATGACTTCCATCAACTTGTGCCATAACCACATCACCTCGACGCTCCATGGTATGACTTAAAATATGTAAAGGCGGTTGAACCACAACCCACTGACGAAATATCATGTAACAATTATTTCATATCTTATCTATGTTCAGAAACAAATGTGCCATTGTGATGTTTTAACCTCTTCTTTAACAGGCTATGCCACATCGCACGTCATAAGACAGGACCGCAGTGTTAATTTCATCATCTGTAAGTAAATTTCAATCATCATGAGTATACCATCAAATACAGACCTCTGATGGAGAGTGTAGCTCGAAACCCAACTTCATTAATGACGCATCATGTAGTTTCGTGCATTTCACTCAATCCAATATCAGACATAATTTTCTTTGGGGTTTTCATGATGATAGATAACTCACTCGAAAAAGGTCCTGATATATCCGATATCATAATTATCACTTATATATTTTGGGGCATCCCTGACTGGTTACTCGCCAAATGAAGGCCAATAACGGGTTGGATCTCACAAAATCCGATGAAGCCAGGAGAAATGATGACCTTTTAACATTGTAATAATAATATAATTATAGTTATCGTCCGCTTCTATGACGTTCATATCCAGGCACATTAATACTGTCCCTTTGTCTGTTATAATTATCGTGTAGAACAATGTAACGTTTTTTGTGATGGGATTATACTCACTCTTTCTCAAACATTTTGAATGAAATATATTTAGATTCTGCCCCCAGATAGATTTCTTGTGGATGTGCCCTTTTCACTCACTGTTGGATGCGACCGCCTCCGTGGTGTAGTAGTGGTTAGAGCGTCCGCCCGGAGAGCGGAAGGTCGCGGTTCGATCCCCGACCGCGTCATACCAAAGACGTTAAAATATGGTACGTATTGGTCCCTGCCTGCGCTCGGCATTAATGGGTACATCAAGGACTGGTCGGCTCGAGTCAGTATAATGTGTCTGAGTGGGGTATTCATGCTTCACTGCGGCATGGTATCTCAGTGGGCTAGCACTATAAAACCAGCTTCCGTCTGGGCTTAGTACAAAGAAGCCGCATGCACACATAATACACGCATGCACGTCGTCATATGAGCGAAATATTCTCCAAGCACGACGTTAAACCCAATTTCACCTCAACTCACCTCACTGTTGGATGCAAGAGTTACATGACTGACCCTTTAACACTCCTTGCAAAGCATCCGCGAGCCTTTCCTACCCTAGCTGGTGAAGAGATCCAGATTTCAGCAGTTTGAATCTGGTGGTCCGGCCACCGCCTTGGCGAGGGAACCCTTCACGCATTTACTCGTTCGCACCACCACCGCCCAATACCCGTGAAGATCCGGCTTTGAATTGGTCTTCGGTAATCTATGCTTGTCGTAAGGGGCGGCTGACGGAATGGGGTGGTCAGGCTCGCTGACGTCGTTGACACATGTCGTCGTATCCCAGTTATTGTAGATCGATGCTCATGCTGTTCATCACTAGAGTGTCTAGTCCAGACTCGAATATTTAAAGACCGCCATAGAGGCTGGAATATTGCCGTGTGCGGCGTTAAGCAACAAACCAACCAGCCACCACCCAACAGATGTGAATGTGCATCATTTATAAGACCTCGTTTTAACCATTTCCTTATTTTCAAAATCAGTAGTTTCAGTGGTCCAAAGAAGGATAAATTGTGCCAAAACATGCTGCTTTAGTATATGATGTTATAAGAGAACTGCAGAACCAGTAAATAGATTGGAAATGGTTATATACTGACCTTGTCTAAAATTGTTTCAATTCAACTCTTACGGACAAACGGCCCCAAAATAGATCAATTTTGAATCTGCAGTTTTCTTCAGTCTGCAGGAGTTAAATATGTATATGTGTGTTTAACTTAAAATGTATTGATTATTGCTATGTTGCAGTATTTATATATATTTAACTAAATCGTTTATTATCCATACCATTCACAAATACGTATCTTAATCAACACACGACCGGACAATTACCTCCCCCACACAGCGAGTGTCGTGAAACTGTGTTCAGTGATTGAAGCGGACGTAGAAGTTACCAGTTCACGTTCTGTCTGTTGAACACTTAAATGTAAAAATATCGGCAAACAGCACTTTTATCTGTCTCATTCTTTACTATTTTTTGTGTGATATGAGTTTAGAATACCTATGGTTGTAGATTTTATAGTGAAATGATGTTGAAATATGCCCATATGAATTAAGCAGCAGTAGTGTCTATTTCTGACCGCCGTCACAACAAACTAGGTCAAACTCAGCTGGAGTGAAAAAATATTTAAACCAGTGTTTATTTGTTTACCAATGCATGTAGAAATGTATGACAAACAATTTAAATACCCATCTGGATAGTATCATGTCGTTATTATTACTATCTAGGGCACGAAAAGTATCGTTGTATTTACAGACGGACGCAAAATGGCAGCCGAACATGTAGTGCGCTGTTTTGGAATCACCGACACGGAACAAACAATACAAGGATATATTGTAGGAAATACAGTTGCTAAACTCAGTAAAATAACAATTGTATATTTCCAGGTCCTAAACTCCAACTGGACGCTGGTCGAGTCAACACACGCTGCTGCCATGTTACTACAGACAGGGGGAGCTGGCCAACTCGCCGCCCGCCACACAACACAGGGGCCAGTGGCAGACTACAGAGATTGTTCGCCACACAACACACGGACAGTGGCAGACTACAGGAATTGTACGGCACGTGTAGCTCCACCCCCATCCCCCTTCCTCCATCCCCCTCTAGTGTCACCCTTGTCCCCCACACAACACGATACTGGGAGACTCACACCAGGGTGGGTGTGGTGGGTAGAGTGTGGGGGTGTCCTGTCCTGGAGGTAGGTGTGGGGGAGGAGAGCCAGGTGGACAGTGGGGTGTATGTTTGTTACCAGCGCCGCTCCTGGTGTGTCCGTGTAGGGGGCTGTGACACACACCGGCGGAGTATCTGTACCAGGGTGTATCTGGCGGGGGAGCGGGGGAAGTGTTACAGAAACACAATGTCTAACACACCCGGCACACACGCCACCCTCCACTATGGCGTTGTGTTGGATGTCGGGAGGGGTAGAATAGGATTTATTGACGTAGACAGGTCGGCTGTTTTAGGGAAAGTTGATGTGGAGTTCAAGGAGAATCTTCTCCCTGTGTTTGCTGTCTGTCCGTTCAGTCGCTACACAAGTAAACATGAAGGTGGTCAGTGGGGAGGAGATCCTCATGTCTGACATCAAGAAATCACTCATTAATGAAGTCCTGGCCTAAGAAATAAACTCCACATGACCCAGTGTAAACTTGTAAATATCACACATCAACTTTATCAGACAAATTCAATACAACAGAACTGAAAGAAGCGGACATAGAAGTTACCTGTTCATGTGTTGTATGTTGTGTACAACAATGTGACAAGGTTAGCTAAATATGTCGGTTTTCTACATGACAGTTTTTCATTTGTGTACTAGCAGCATTTTACATCCACACAAGAGTATTGTTATGATTATTATTACGTAATAACTGATTAGTTTATGAAACATTTCATACATTTCTGGGACATGTCACAACTAACAACTGAGTTGATGGTTGAGTAAAAAGTTGTTTCAAATCATGAATATCTGGACATATTTTGTTTCTCTTCTGTGAAATAAATAATTTAAATACCCATATGTGGAGGCTAGGAGATTGAAATATAATATTTGTAGCTGTGAGATAGACATGTTGATGTCAGTTCAGTTAGACAATGAAAGTGATTGAAGCGGACATATAATGTCCCAGTTTAAATGCGCCATGGTACTTGTGTCGGGAGGAAATGTAGTTACAGAAACTGTCTGTGTCTTTATTCTAATCAGTCCTGTTGTGTTTGTAAATAATTTAAATTCCCCACAGAGGGTTTACTTTGTGGTATTTCTTAGTCCATGTATCTACACAAATAATGTCTAATGTACAATCCTTCCATGTCACAGAGCTCATTACAACATGGCCCCGATGTACATTTACATGTGTGTATAAAATTGAAAATTGAAAGTTGTGTGTGAGTTACTGTCGTGAAACACTGGGTCTACCTCTGACAATGGGGTGTGTAGAGATGGATGTGCCACTCTTAGAGTTCCACGCTAATTTTAATACCAGGCTTTATTTTTTGGTCAATATGACCTGAGTTGATATACAATACCTAAAGTCCAACCCCGTTGTGTGTCACAGATCTGTCCACTCCTCCAGTAAATTACAAGGCTTAACCAGGGGATAAATTATCACCAGAATCCCGCTTTAGAGAACTGTTTGTATTCAACTACTTTGCGGTGCCATGTGGACTGGTTGACTTATCTGATAAATGCATGCATTGACTTTCTATATTTCTATATTGTATGTATATGATAACATGTCTGATGTTCATTGTGTAAGATATGCTAGGTATTAGCTGATGTTATTTAATATGCATTGGAATAACATTGGTATCAATCCTGACAGGTTTTGCTGTTTACCGTGCACAGGGAAATGGTCCACCTGGACAATTCTGTTGTAAATTTGCTTTATCGATTAGGTTTTGGTGTTGCCTGAATTATGGGAACTAGGTGATTCAAATATATTCTATCTAAGTCCGCCGAGAAGCTAGAAAATACTGTTCTTTCTAGGAGAGTAGTGATCTCTAGATTCTTTTGAGTTTATAAATATCACAACATCTAGGCGGACCTGTGACAAATATGTTCTACTTTTGCTTTATCGATTTAGTTTTTGGTGTTGCTGCCTTTAGTTTTATGTCAGCTGTAGCTGACCCGGAAGTAAAACAGTTGAGAGGTTCAGTAACAGTTTTTCTGGGACTACATAGGATCTATATATGTAACTTGATTGTCACTTATATATCTAAACAAAATCTAAATTTACCTGTGGAAAAATATGTTCTATTTAACATAGATTTTCAATATAGAGGCCTGTTAACAACGTTTAGGGGTGGCAGTAATAATCGAGGTATATAGTTAGTTCCAAGCAGTTTTACCACTTACACTCATGAAGTTATTCTATGCAATCACAATGATGCTCTTGAAGATGAAGTGCATGTCGTGTATCATGAAATGAGGATGAATTATTAATGACACTTTAAACATGGTCATTAATGTTCACTTAAGACGTTTCCGCATATCTCCAGATGTTCATGTAGTAATTGTAAACTGTTCTGTAACGGGTATTTTCCTACTGTATGTTACTGTAACTGCCACTTCCATTCCCTACGCAAGCTGCAAACAAACAGACTTTGTACCATGGGTCTTGAGACCTTTATACAAAATAAAACACCGCCTGTCTGTCTGTGTCTCTGTCCGTCATTATTATATCATGTCAAAATATCCCAGTCAGAATATAATTATGCTGTTCGATGCATAATTATACGTATGACAAACTCATAATAACTGGTTTTTTCCTCCGCAACGCGTTTTGCGAGGGTTTAAAATGGACCCCGTCCGTCCGTCCGCCCGTCCGTCCGTCCGTCCGTGCACATTTGTCTTTCCCAGAGTAGAACTTTACAACTGTTCAATGTTGCTTCATTACAATTGCTACATAGTTTGGTCTGATGGTGAACTGGTGCCTGTTGGCAGTTTTGGATTTCACAATAAAATATATTTTGCGTTTCCATGGCAACAAGTTTGACTTCGACTGAATTACTGGTAGTGCTATTTTCTGATGCGGAACTTTAAAACCTTTCAGTATTCTCTTTACAATTTGTAATATAGTCACTGACTTGGTCGACACTTCTCATTGTATCCCAGTTGCGTAGATCGATGCTGATGCTGTTGATCACTGGATTGTCCAGATTCGATTATTTACAGACCGTCGCCATGTACCTGGAACATCACTCACTCACTCACCTACTGATGTACGCACCAAAACATCTAACCTAGTCATAACCAACTGATATATTCATGAAGAGTATTTTGCAATTGCGGGGGTTATTGATGACTTTGACTCCTGGTTATACCTTATACTATGTCCTAATATATTATATTCCTGTATTTTCGGTTTTAGTTTCACTCCATTCAATAATTTATTTTCACAGAGGACACATGCATGGTACAGTGGGTTAATCTACAGTACATACTCGCGTACATGACGTAGTAGGTCAGTCTACAGTACACACTTACATACATGACGCAGTAGGTCAGTCTACAGTACACACTTACATACATGACGTAGTAGATCAGTCTACAGTACACACTTACATATATGACGTAGTTGGTCAGTCTTCAGTTCACACTTACATACAAGACGTAGTGGGTCAGTCTACAGTTCACACTTACATACATGACGTAGTGGGTCAGTCTACAGTACATACTTACATACATGACGTAGTGAGTCAGTCTGCATAACATATTAACATACATGACATAGGGGGTCAGTCTACAGTACACACTTACATACATGACGTAGTGAGTCAGTCTACAGTACACACTTACATACATGACGCAGTGGGTCAGTCTACAGTACATACTAACAGACATGACGTAGTGGGTCAGTCTACAGTACACACTAACATACATGACGTAGTGGGTCAGTATACAGTACACACTTACATACATAACGTAGTGGGTCAGTCTACAGTACACACTAACATACATGACGTAGTGGGTCAGTCTACAGTACACACTTACATACATGACGTAGTGGGTCAGTCTACAGTACACACTTACATACATGACGCAGTGGGTCAGTCTACAGTACACACTAACATACATGACGTAGTGGGTCAGTCTACAGTACACACTTACATACATGACGTAGTGGGTCAGTCTACAGTACACACTTACATACATAACGTAGTGGGTCAGTCTACAGGACACACCGACATACATGACGTAGTGGGTCAGTCTACAGTACATACGTACAAACATGACGTAGTGGGTCAGTCTACAGTACATACTTACATACATGACGCAGTGAGTCAGTCTACAGTACACACTTCCATACATGACGTAGTTGGTCAGTCTACACAACACACTTACATACATGACGTAGTAGGTCAGTCTACAGTAAAAACTTACATACATGACGTAGTGAGTCAGTCTACAGTACACAGTTACATACATGACGTAGTGGGTCAGTCTACAGTAAAAACTTACATACATGGCGTAGTGAGTCAGTCTACAGTACACACTTACATACATGGCGTAGTGAGTCAGTCTACAGTACACACTTCCATACATGACGTAGTGGGTCAGTCTGCAGTACAAACTTACATACATGGCGTAGTGAGTCAGTCTACAGTACACACTTACATACATGACGTAGTGAGTCAGTCTACAGTACATACTAACGGACATGGCGTAGCGAGTCTCGTCTGTCAAAGCTGCGATGACAGCCGGACAAAGGCAGCCATCCAGCCACACGTAAACAAAGGCTTGCCTCGCTCGTACGGCAGTGTCAGTGGTACAAGTAAATGTCCGAAGTTTTGCTGAAGTATTTTGCGATTAAAAACGTTAAATACAAGACATGAGTGTGACTTACCTGCCCTGGCGAGCTTGGCAAACACACGGGAGGTGTTTCAAAACAAGACATGCCCACGTGACCCGGAAACCGCCCGCTACTGCTCCCTACCGATCAGGTTGGTGAAAGAAATGAGGGTGGCGTGAGGAAATAATGTATAAAAACCAGCTCGGTGTATAGTGGCTGTTTTTTGACGTAGTGGGTCCGTCTACAGTACATACTAACAGACATGACGTAGTGGGTCCGTCTACAGTACATACTTACATACATGACGTAGTGGGTCCGTCTACAGTACATACTAACAGACATGACGTAGTGGGTCCGTCTACAGTACACACTTACATACATGACGTAGTGGGTCCGTCTACAGTACATACTAACAGACATGACGTAGTGGGTCCGTCTACAGTACATACTAACAGACATGACGTAGTGGGTCCGTCTACAGTACACACTTACATACATGACGTAGTGGGTCCGTCTACAGTACATACTAACAGACATGACGTAGTGGGTCCGTCTACAGTACATACTAACAGACATGACGTAGTGGGTCCGTCTACAGTACATACTAACAGACATGACGTAGTGGGTCAGTCTACAGTACACACTTACATACATGACGTAGTGGGTCCGTCTACAGTACATACTAACAGACATGACGTAGTGGGTCCGTCTACAGTACATACTAACAGACATGACGTAGTGGGTCCGTCTACAGTATACACTTACATACATGACGTAGTGGGTCAGTCTACAGTACATACTAACAGACATGACGTAGTGGGTCCGTCTACAGTACACACTTCCATACATGACGTAGTGGGTCAGTCTACAGTACACTTACATACATGACGTAGTGGGTCAGTCTACAGTACACACTTACATACATGACGTAGTGGGTCAGTCTACAGTACACACTTACATACATGACGTAGTAGATCAGTCTACAGTACATACTTACATACATGACGTAGTGGGTCAGTCTACAGTACACACTTACATACATGACGTAGTAGGTCAGTCTACAGTACACACTTCCATACATGACGTAGTGGGTCAGTCTACAGTACACACTTACATACATGACGTAGTGGGTCAGTCTACAGTACACACTTACATACATGACGTAGTAGGTCAGTCTACAGTACATACTTCCATACATAACGTAGTGGGTCAGCCTACAGTACACACTTACATACATAACGTAGTGGGTCCGTCTACAGTACACACTTACATACGCTGACGTAGTGGGTCCGTCTACAGTACACTTACATACATGACGTAGTGGGTCAGTCTACAGTACACACTTCCATACATGACGTAGTGGGTCAGTCTACAGTACACACTTCCATACATGACGTAGTGGGTCAGTCTACAGTACACACTTCCATACATGACGTAGTGAGTCAGTCTACAGTACACACTTACATACATGACGTAGTGGGTCAGTCTACAGTACATACTAACAGACATGACGTAGTGGGTCAGTCTACAGTACACACTTACATACATGACGTAGTGAGTCAGTCTACAGTACACACCTTACATACATGACGCAGTGGGTCAGTCTACAGTACATACTAACAGACATGACGTAGTGGGTCAGTCTACAGTACACTAACATACATGACGTAGTGGGTCAGTATACAGTACACTTACATACATACATAACGTAGTGGGTCAGTCTACAGTATTAACACTAACATACATGACGTAGTGGGTCAGTCTACAGTACACACTTACATACATGACGTAGTGGGTCAGTCTACAGTATACACTTACATACATGACGCAGTGGGTCAGTCTACAGTACACACTAACATACATGACGTAGTGGGTCAGTCTACAGTACACACTTACATACATGACGTAGTGGGTCAGTCTACAGTACACACTTACATACATAACGTAGTGGGTCAGTCTACAGGACACACCGACATACATGACGTAGTGGGTCAGTCTACAGTACATACGTGCAAAACATGACGTAGTGGGTCAGTCTACAGTACATACTTACATACATGACGCAGTGAGTCAGTCTACAGTACACACTTCCATACATGACGTAGTTGGTCAGTCTACACAACACACTTACATACATGACGTAGTAGGTCAGTCTACAGTAAAAACTTACATACATGACGTAGTGAGTCAGTCTACAGTACACAGTTACATACATGACGTAGTGGGTCAGTCTACAGTAAAAACTTACATACATGGCGTAGTGAGTCAGTCTACAGTACACACTTACATACATGGCGTAGTGAGTCAGTCTACAGTACACACTTCCATACATGACGTAGTGGGTCAGTCTGCAGTACAAACTTACATACATGGCGTAGTGAGTCAGTCTACAGTACACACTTACATACATGACGTAGTGAGTCAGTCTACAGTACATACTAACGGACATGGCGTAGCGAGTCTCGTCTGTCAAAGCTGCGATGACAGCCGGACAAAGGCAGCCATCCAGCCACACGTAAACAAAGGCTTGCCTCGCTCGTACGGCAGTGTCAGTGGTACAAGTAAATGTCCGAAGTTTTGCTGAAGTATTTTGCGATTAAAAACGTTAAATACAAGACATGAGTGTGACTTACCTGCCCTGGCGAGCTTGGCAAACACACGGGAGGTGTTTCAAAACAAGACATGCCCACGTGACCCGGAAACCGCCCGCTACTGCTCCCTACCGATCAGGTTGGTGAAAGAAATGAGGGTGGCGTGAGGAAATAATGTATAAAAACCAGCTCGGTGTATAGTGGCTGTTTTTTGACGTAGTGGGTCCGTCTACAGTACATACTAACAGACATGACGTAGTGGGTCCGTCTACA